TCTTTAAGTAGGGCACTGTGGCTTAGGTTTTTAACCAACTTACACAATGAACATTCCTAGGGCATGAAACTCTGGTTACAGAAACCTGCTTAAGAAATGTCATCAGGTGTGTGTGAATGCTACAAAATAATCTATTTTTAGAAACAGCAGTTTTCAGACAGTGCTCCAATAAGATGATCAACTGTCCTAGCAAAACCTTGAAAGGGACCTCAAGAAAGAATAGTCTCTAGATACAAAGTATAACCTTTCTGAAACTTTTCCTTAGGACAGGGTATCACTATGTAGTCCTGGCTGGCCTGGAACTTACTACATAGACCAGGATGGCCTCTAACTCACAGAGATCAACCTGCTTCTGCCTCCTGAGAGCTGGGATTAAAGGTGTGTGCCACCACGCCGTTATAAAATTTTAAGACTATAAAACTGAAAATGTCTTTGCATCTCCTCCTATCCCCTCAAATCCCCAGGATCTTGACTGTGGTATTTATTCATGTGTATGGTGTATGTGGGGTACGTGCATGTTGAGTTTTGCGTGTCCATGCTTGTACATGCAGAGGTCAGAAGTAGATGTCAGGACTGTTCCCCTGTTGCTCTCTACCTTACTGTCTTAATGCAGGTTCTCTTACTGACTGGAAGCTCACCATCTCAGGGCGGCTGGCTGCCAGCAAGCTCTCTTGGGATCTGCCCTCCAGTGCTGGGGCAACAGGTAGAGCCACGTCTGGCTTTTGATGTGGTTAGAGGTTTGAATTTAGGTCCTCACACTTGCATGACACCACTTTCACCCACTGTGCCATCTCCCTAGCCTCCTTGACTGTAGTATAAACAAAAAGTCTGCCTGCTTTCTGAAGATGTGATTCACAGAAATTTCACTTGTGTATTTATAATACACATTGTTGTTTATTCCAAGCATGCTTCCTCTGAGAAATGCAGGGTGAGCTGTTCACATGTTCAAATAAAACAACCAAAAAACCCAAACCAGACTTGATTAGGAGAAGATCATCATCTTTACCTGCAACAATGGTAGCTTAAGATACCAGTCCAGAAAAGGAATTCTGAGAACACCTTCATGGATACAATGACATCAGGCACTGTGCTCTATTTGTTTTCTAGAGCAGACAGACTCTGGGAATGGATATATTTTGTGATAACGGGACATCTGAGGGTAGAGCCTCCACTCCTTCGAATGTAACCACCCTCTAAAGAATGACAGTTGAAGTCAGCTGTGTTAGCGTCATACAGAAAAGTAGACCAATAGGTAGGTGTGTGTGTGTTTACGTATGTATGTTTAAAGGACCTGGGTATGGGGGCTGGAAAGTACTAATTTGTAGGACAGGCTAGCAGGCTGAAGGCTATCTTGGGGCAGAAATTCTCTTACTTGTGAGGACTCAGTCATTTTTTCTTTTTCTTTGTCTTCAAATGACTAGAGGGCCACTGAAATCATGAAGGGTAATTTGTTTTAGTCAAGTCTACTAATTTAAATATTAACAGTATCTAAAAAAATGTCTTTAAAGTGACATCTAGACTGTTTGACCAAAGACTGTGTAGAGTCTAGTCAAGTTGACTAGTGACTAATTCTTTATGGAATGGGTTGCAGTTGAAGATATTTTGGCATTTTTGATTTAGGCTGAAATTGCAAATATTTAACTATTTTTGCTCTAGGAGAACATGAAACTTAGAATGGCTCAAAACAATCTTTGGGCTTTTGTCCCCAGTCAAGAGCTGCCATCTGCACCAGGACACTCCTTCAGGAAACACACTTCTTCCCACAAAGCCAACTTCTTTGGAATTCCCAGGATTCAGCAAAGTAGTTGAGTGCCCTTCTCCTTAAGAAATGTTTGAGGAGTTGGAGAGATGGCTCATCAGTTAAGAGCACTGGCTGCTCTTGCAGAGGACCCAGGTTTGGTTCCCAACATCCATATGGCAGCTAAAAACCATCTATAATGCCAGTTCTAGGGGATCCAATGCCCTCTTCTGGCCTCCAAAGGCATTGTATGCACATGGTGCACATACACTCATGCAGGCAAAACACTCATACAGAAAAATAAAAGTAAATCAAAAAAAGAAAAAAAAATTAAAAAAGAAACATTTGAGGCTGGGCATGGTGACACACGCCTTTAGTCCCAGCACTTGGGTGGCAGAGGCATGCAGATCTTTGAGAATCTGAGGCCAGCCTGGTCTACACAATGAGTTCCAGTTCAGATGGGGCTACAGGGAAACCCTGTCTCAAAAAGACAGAAAACAAAAACCAAACAACAACAAAACGCTTGCATACACACTCAAGAAAAAAAGTCTCTTGGCCCCATTGGATCAATGATGCCACAAAAACAAAACAAAAAAACAAACCACACTTCTAATTGATTTTCCATAAAGGAGATTCTATCTTAAATCAATCTCAAGCATACACTTTCAAAGCATTCTGCTCTTGGATATTATGAAAAGTCAGAGCATTTTCTTTCTATAAGCCCCCCTGCCAAGTATTTCACATGAATGGACTTAAGAACACAGCTAATTCTAAGTTCTTAGAATTAGCTAATTCTAGGATTAACAGAAGAATACTTTCACATCTGCTGGAGTTAAGGAGGAATTTCAAATACGGAATCTGTATTTTCTTTACCCCTACAAGCACAAAAAGGAAAACTGTCTCATACAGGAGGTGCTGGGAGACACGGCCGTCATTTCCACAACGGTTCCTAGTCAGGTGTTTACTAAATTTTCAGTATTATCATCTCTGTTGGAAGCTACCTTCCTGGCTACTTAAATGGCAAGTTTTTAACTGAAATGATACATGTGTGATAACCACTCTGGTTTATCTGAATTTTCAAGAGCTTGTTTTAGCAAAATTGTAGGAAATTAGCATTAACCCCAGGGGAACTTCTAAAAAGACACTATCTATGACTGACAGGCAATGTGTGCTGAAAGAAGGCCAAATGTCAATTTTGACTTCTATGAACAAGAAATATTCAGACAGCTTTTGTGAATTCTAAACTAACGTAGATTAAGGTGTTGATGTGTTGACCTTTTGTGTATATGCTCATGTGTGCATGCAGGCCAAAGGTTGATGCCAGAAGTTGATGTCAGGTGTCTTCTTTAATCATTCTTCACCTTATTTTCTGAGACAGGGTCTCTCTGTGAACCTGGAGTGCACTGATTGGCTAGACTGGCTGGCCAGTGAGCTGCAAGGATCTTCCTGTCTTCACCTCCCTAGTGCTAGGCTCATAGGCGCGCTGGTGACCGAAGTCAGGTCCTCAGGCTGCACAGGAAGCTCGTCAGTGACTGTGCCCTCCCACCAGGTCCTGACAATTTTCCTTTAAAATATACACTTTCTGCTCTTCTAAAGCTCAAAAGTCTGAAATTTCCCAGAACCTTGCATTTTATTAAAAAGTGCAGAGCCAGAGTCTTCTATTCCGCAAATGAAAAAATACCTGCAGTTGGCAGGTTGACCATGCGCCGGTGGATGGCTCTACACCCAGGAAAGGCAGTATAAACTGGACTTGGGCAGTATTAATTGGACTTGGTGGGTTATTAAAAAAAAAAAAAAAGGACATGCAAGTTTGGAGGGGAGGAGGTGGGAGGTGGATCTGGGAGGAGTTAGGGGGAGGAATGAAGGGTGGATATGATCAAAATACATGGTATGCATGTATGAGATTCTCAAATAAAAATATTTAATTCACTTCCTGGGATGGAGCCCATACCAGACATTGACATCAGGCTTAGGAGCCTGAGGCTAGGCAGGTCACAGGGCACAGGGGAGAACCTAATACTAGTTTTCTACTAAAGAGTTATATTAAACTGACTCTTAATGACTTATTGCTATCCCCATAGATTAATGCATCTCTCAACTCTTCACCAGAGATGTTTCCTTGTGCAACAGATGGTGATTAACACAGAAACTCACAACTGGTCAAGAGGCTGCAGAGTGCTTATCCCTGAAGGGGACATTTAAGTCAAACTTCTGCTTCCCAAGGCTCAGGTCAGTTATTCATATGAACTCTTAGCAATAGCGCCAGCACGCACAAGTCTCATGCAAGCTCCAACCAGAAAAAAAATCACAGTGTAGACATGGAGATGTGGGTAAGATGCTCCAACCCCACCCAAGGAAATTGTGGCAACAGATAGCTGCTGGGAAAGGCAGAGAAAGGCTCTTTCAAGAATGTGACTAACCAGGCACCAGTGTATGGACCCACACTAAAGGACATTTGGAGACATAAATTAGACTCTGTAGGACTTATTATATCTAAGACAGCATATTAAATTGGGTGGGGGCAATAAGGCGTGGTGCAGATAGGGGAGGGGATCTAAATATCATCAAATTATATTTTATGAAAATCACAAGAATTCAATTAAAACAGTGAAGAAAAAGATTAAAGTATCATCTATGAAAATTTCAGGAAGATCTGTTATCTAAAGTCATTCGATAATTTTATTCATATATTCGGTGGGAATTCACATATCTTTTTCCTTACAGCAAACAACACTGTAGATTGTAAGAAGCTGCGGTATTGTTTAATTAGCAGCAACTGAATCCTTTAAATCTGGGTATCTGGAGGATAAAAGTCTTCTTTGATGTGTCTAAAGTGTAGTGCAGCTATAGCTCTGAGATGTGACTGCTACTGTACTAATTTACAGATCTTAACACACATGCACACACACATGCACACACATGCATGCACACACACACACAAAGATGATCTTTGTCTATATTTTATACAAATACAACAGTAGTTTGTGGATACACTTTAAGTACATGATATACACGATAAGCCACTTGATTTCCAATATCACAGAATAGAGATTTAAAATGCAATAAAAATATACAAAATTCAGTCTGGAATGCAGATTTTTTTTCTTTTCTATTTTGACTCAAAACTTTACCATTAGAACATTTTTAGAGTACTAGTCCAAACACTTTTTCATTAGCTAAAAATACAATTTCAGCAGTCAGCTTATGTTCAGGCATGATGCAATCCATTTTTCTAATGGATTCCCAGTTTTTGTTAAATTCAAAGGGCTGTTAGTAACTTACAGTATGCTCTTCACTCCATGCCCAATTGTTAAGCCCACTTTCCTTCTGAGTTACAGTCACCTTGTGGACAAAAGCTGGGTTTGTTCTGGTAACATTTGCACGTCCAAGATCTCCTTTTGCAAGTGCACATGAATACACTGTGGTGGTATAAAAGTTTGTTAATGACAAATCAAGTCACAGTATAAAAATATATTGTACACCTTTATACCTATGTAGTCCTTTTCCTATGGATAAAAAAATACAACTGAATGAGACAGAGAAGTTTGTAGCACCATGAAGAGTTGTGTCCCAAGTTACATTAGCAGCATGATCCAATATAATATTGAAGGAGTGTTTCTGAGAAGATAGACATTCATTCTGGTTCGTCTGTACCACCGAAGCTTATACAATGAAGTGTTTTAAACATTAGCAATAGTTCTGTCATTTCTAGAGCTAGATGTCTTATTAAGACACTGCCTTCCATCCTCAGAGGGCTGAAGACACCGCAGAAAGGCTTACAGGTGATCTACGTGTGCCATTACCAAGGCTGGTAGCATTATCTTGTTACATATGATCCTGAAGGAACCCTCTGTGGGTTTTTACATGAAAGTACACAACACAATTTATGTATCTATGTAGACCTCCATAATCAAGACATACTGTGTTGTAGACTGGGCTGGTAACAGTCTGAATAAAACAAGGCAAAAATCAATCGAGGCACTCATGTGTCAGAGAAACAGTCTGCTGCTGCTAAGGACGAATACTCAACACTTAAAAAGACCTCCTCCAATGTCACATGGATCTCAGTAGGCTAGAAGCAACTTGGGTGAACTGGTATCTTTTAACTTATGGACTGGGAAGACAGTGTGCTTTGAGACACGTAAACCTTGTAAAAAAAATAAACCATTGTAAAACCTTACGAAAAGACACACACTGATGCTGTGCAACATAGCAAATCAATAAGAAAACACTGTAAAAATGTACCTGTTTAAAATACCATCTACCATTTTTGTACACAAAGCATTATATATCAAAGGCCTACATATATATCTAATGGCACTTGAAAAAATTATAGTAAGTCTTAAAAATAAAAAGCATAACCTATAAGAAAGTTTCTGTAAAAGTTTAGATTCATTTTGAAAGTGCTATATCTTGTAATATGTGTAGTATAGAGGTTGACCAAACTCTATTTTTTTTTAAATTGGCCTACATGTGTATTGCTCACTAGATGAATGATCCTGAAAATATGTACTCTATAACATTCATTATTAGCTTAATAAAGTAATCAGCTCTGGCTCATGTTTCAGTCAGTATATGGTTTTTAAAAACCGCTACTGTCCAAATTAACACAATATATCACTATATTCCACAAATGACTAGAAAAGGAAAGAACAAGCAACAAACAGGCAAAAATACACAGCTTGAAAGGAAGGAGCAATAACTGAAAGAAGAAAAGCTGCACAAGGGATGGTGTGCGACCAGCCAGGACATTTGAAAACTGGAAGCAGGTAACAAGATGGAGAATGAGAGCTTAACAGCAACCAGTAACTATACAGTAGTGCTGGTGTACACTGATGGGCGACATTGCTTACGGTGCCAACATCCTTCCACACTAACACTCCCATGGCTGGTGACCTAGTTTGCACACACATGTGGAAGTCAAACTGAATGAGGTTCAATATCTTGTCTGAGGTTCAAATTCTACACCAAAATATTTATTTAATGTTAATCCCTTTTCTTTTTAAGCAAACTAAGGCACAATCAGAAATTCCAAGGATGATGAGTCTGGCCACTGGAGTATGAAACAGCATTGGCAATAACTGTCTTTAATGATACCTACTTCAAATAAAAGCAAATGACAATTTTTTTTCTAGAAAAAAAAGCCAATTCTCTGTTACATCTTGGTTAAAATGTTGTGCAATTAAAATAAACAAGCTGCCTGATCTTTAATAGAAAATCTATCAAAAAGGGTTTAGTGACCACTGCAGTCAATTAACAAACACACATCAGCTGAGTTCCCTCTTATTTTGAAGTGTTATTCAAGTCTATCGGGCAGCAACAGGCAGAGAGGTGGACATATGAAATTTAAGACTCTACAGTTTTAACACTGGTGCCCTGGAAAATATGTATTTGAATTCCATGCAGGGCAAAAATCAGGAATATATATACATATACACACATACACATATATATTATATATATTATATGTATGTATGTATGTATGTATGGTGCCATTCCCATTTCTAAAATGCTTTATTTCATAAATCCTGGTACTCCCTTTTTAATTAGCAGTGAAATACAGCCTAGGAAGGCCAGCGTCTCATTCATTAATCTGACTTCTTATTATGCAAATTTTAGACAGAATAAAGTAGTGCTTTCACACTTGCTATTTGTGACCTCTATGTAAAAATAGGTTTTCTATTTACTTGTGCTCTGTCACCAAATTTCTTTTTCCTTTTTTTTATGGTGATTAAAGCAATATTGAACACTAATCATTCAACTAAAGCTTAGGTAAGCGATCTGTTTCATAGAAACTAAAGGAGGCAATAATGAAGCAGAGCGAAAAGCCTACTTTCAGAGCAAATATTCTCCTAACCAAAAGCTTAGGAGCAGCTTGAAAATTTAAAAATGCATTTCCTTATTAACATATATAATTTTAATGCCTTTGGAACACTTTAATAAAATGTAATTTCCATAATAAAATTTAAATACATAAGTATAAAAACTACTGCTCCCAGGATTAAAAGAATAGGAGCAAGATAAAAATATCAGGAGTCAAAGCTCCTTCAAAGAGCAAGTTTCATCTATGAAGTGCGATACACGTGTGTATATATAATATATATAGTGAGACCCCATTTACAATTTACATTTCTCCACAAATTATACTACTCCCAGATATTTTAAATAATGCATTCTCTTCAGTAATCTATACTCATTTTAGAAATTATTGGTAAACAAGGCAATCCGCAGTGACAACTGGCCCTACCAAAGGGAAACAGCTCCCACCCAGGGCTAAGGAGTGCTCAGAAATTCATAATAGTTTCTCATTTTTTTTAAAGAGATATATACTCTTCCATAATCCCCCCATCCCTGACCCAACAGAAGGGGTCCCAAAATAAGGTGTTAACAAGTGCTTAATAGATATGTCTCTTAGGCTGATGCCCCAAATAACCCTTAGGAAAATAGAAGAATTGAGCCTTTGATCAGACTGTGGTGGTTGTCTCACACGAGGAAAGTCCATTACTACTTTATTCAGCAACAGCACCTTCTCATTATTTTCACATTAATTTAGTGCTTGCTTTATTTTACTTTGCTCCTTTTTTGTAACATTTCTCACATTTCCCAGAGATGTGTAAATGTGGGGTTTTACTGTATATATTTTTAGTTGTGTAAAACTTTGTGGTAATTCCTCAAATACCTCTTGATGTGTTTAATTTAAAATTCTCCATCCAAAAATAGCAGGGAAAGATGGGTGTAGACTGAATAAGCACAGGGGTCAGACTGCTGTTTCAGAAGTGACACTTTGTCCTTAAAGTCTAGTTTTCAACTCTGGCAACAGCGGACACTATCCGTAGACAAGCTGTGGTTTGGCTTCATGCTTCCTGTTCAGGAATCTATCACCCTGACAGGCTGGGGCATCCCACTCTGGGGTTCACCTACTTACTGTCTATAGCCTCACAGTGGCTCTAGGCCCTGGACTAACTGTGGACCAACAAGCAAAGCAAGAGTGTGGGTGTACTTGAATCACTCTCAAGGTGGAAGGTGGGGAGGAGAAAGAAAGTTATCTAGACACTGACCCTGAAGACTTCGATGCCACATACTGTTAACATTACTACAGATACTGGAGCTTTGCGTTGGGTTTGATTCTGTCATGTGTTCATGATATTTTAGCAAATATTGTAGCCTGACAAGAGCACGTCTTCAAAATGCATTGATCTGAAATTACAGTGTCTAAAAATCCCCTATTATCTCTCCAAACTGGATTTTTCGTTCATTTAAATGATTATGAATCTTAGTGGCTAGCATAAAATTTGACTCAAGTTATTCACACACATTTCAGAAGATTTATATCCTATAGCGTACTTGTAAAAAATGAGCCAAATGTCAAATGTCCATTGTTATTGGACAAAAATGAAAATTTTCAGGTCGAAAAATCAAGTGAACACGGGGCTTGAGATATCACATCGATAATAATGGTGTTCCTACATGAAATAAGCTAGAGACTATGGCAACTGACAGAGAATCAGGACCAAAGAGCCGGGTGCACACGGCTGAACATGGATGGTTCCAAAGCTCACTTAAGAAGCTAGTTTCTATTATTAATGGGCTTAATGAAACCGGTATTCTACAACAGCAGAAATTTTTATACGGTCTTAAAGTAGGCACTAAAATAAAAATGGGCATCTAAGGCAGGGCTACACATACACCTCTGTAAGAAATCCATGACCCAGACAGATCCTACTGAAATGCCTGATGGAAGCGAGGCAGGGTGGTGCTTGTGCTTAAACTGCTGGTGAAGGCTGCTGACAGTGAGTGCAGAGAACCAAGACCTATGGTGTTTGCAGGATCTTGAAGATCCTGTGTTTGTGTAGGGAGCTGAGAAACAGAAGAATGTGCTTCATCTTGGGAATAGCTCATCCCAAGGCTCCCCACTGACAGAGGATTATAAGGAGGACCATTTAGCGGTATGAAGTTAAACAACTGAGAAAAATCCAATGCTGGTGTGTTGAGGGGGTCACTGATAGAAATGGAACTCTTGGACAGGGAGAGGTCCCCTGCGCCATCATCTAGGGAACCACTCTGAGGATCCAATCCTAACTTAGATGATGATGCTTGAGAATCCTGGGATGAGGAGGGCGCACCACCTTGTAATTCCATCAGATAACTCTCAATTTCCCCCTTTAATGGCTGCTCTTTTTCAGGAATAGAAATTGCGTATGAGGTAGAACTGAATGGGTATTTGAAAGAAAGGTGGTGAGAGGGATGAACAGCGTCCATATCTATGGGGCAGGTCATTCCCAAAGGTAAAGTTGTGATCATTTGGTGGGCAGACCCCGAGCTCTGCATCGACTGAAATGGAGTGTTATAAAGGTTTAACTGCAAAGTGTTTGTGAATGGCTTCGACAACAGTTCACTGGAAGGTAAGGACATCACCGGGAGGAGTTCATCTTTTATAGGCACAGACACATTACAGGTAAATGGATCCAGGAAATCTACTGGTTCGGTTTTAACCTTCAGGAGCTCTTGATTGTGACTCTTCTTCATATGTCGAGTGAGGTGGTCCTTTCGTCCAAATCTCTGTGCACAGTACTGACAGAGGAAGTCCTTTCTTCCTGTGTGCACCACCATGTGTCTCCGCACATCCTTCCGGGTGTAGAACCTGCGGTCACAGTGCTCGCACTGGTGCTTCTTCTCCTTCACCCCCCCAGATGACTTGCCTGCGTGAGATTTAAGGTGCTCCAGCAGCACAGCTGTGCTTCCGAAAGTCTGCAAGCAGACCTTGCAGGTGAGGTCACCGCTGGTTGCCGCGTGCAAGGCCAGGTGCCGTTTAAAGCCAAGCTTGGTGTTATAGCTCTTGCCACACTCTTCGCATCTGAACGTCTCTTTGTTGGGGTCATGTGTGTGGAGGTGATTCTTCAGATGGTCCTTCCGGTGGAACATTTTCTCACAATAATTACACTTGTGGGTTTTCTCAGGAGAGTGAGTAGCCATGTGCCTTTAAACACAGAGACACTCTGTAAGTGACAATCATGGCGCAAAGATACACATGCACTTTTAACATGGGAAGCTAATCTACTATGCTAACACAAAACTTCCCTTAATAAAGGATCTTCTTAACTAATATATACCATAGGATAGTTAACACACCTAAACATTGTAAAACTTGAGCCAATTAAGTTGCCACTTTAGTGTTGACTGTTTTTAGCTATCATTACAAAAGTAAGCAAGCAAGACTGAACATACTCACGTAAATGTCCACACCCTTTTCTTGTTGAACTTTCTACAAATGGAAATTCTACTCTCATTAAACATTTTACTTAAAAAAATCCAGACACTACCACCAAAGTATGTGATATAGAATACCAAAGGCTACCCAATGTCTAATCTACTTAACATTTCCTCTCTGCAAATGAGAAATGTGTATACAAATACATACGCTTACAATGGCTTCAAGTGGCCAACACAAGAGAAAGTATAATCTGAAAGACAAATAGAGTGTAATACCTTTGTAATTTGTACTTAGAAACAAAGGCCTTGGTGCAGTCTTGCTGTGTGCACTTGTAGGGCCTCTCTCCTGTGTGAGAGTAGGAGTGAACCTTTAATTTCTCAACACTGTTAAAGGCCTTGTCACACAGTTGGCAAGGAAAGTTTTTTCTTGGTTTGGTTTCACCACGCTTACGTTTCCCTGAAGGGACTTTCTGGGTATCTCTTACTTCTGACAAATCACCAGGAATGACAGTGGCCATCGCAGCCTAAACCAGGCCTTCTTGTTGGACACTTGGGAACTGCCCAACTCCACTAAATGATATAGCTTTAGGTGGCTTCTCAAGTTTCATGTGGTCGTAAAAGAAAGCAAAAAGGGACTGGAAAAAAAAATAAGAAACAACTAGTTTGTAACTAAACTCATTAAAAAAATGTTATTTGCTATGTGATGCTTTTGAATTAAAAAAGAAACCATAAAATGGATTCAGCTGGTCCAATGTAATATCTGTAGGTTTCTTTATATTTTTCAAAACAGATATAAATGCATTGCTCAGAATGGACAGTTCATATAACCCTGAAATTCCACCTGATAAATGTTGTACTTAGGCATAACAGTAGTGATTCCAGAACTCTCAGGAAGCATCAGAGCATGACGCTAAATGTAGCATTACTAAGCCTCAATATTTAAAAGGGAACTTAATTCTGACTACAAGTGTAAACATGGTTCAGTTGTATCTTAATGTTGAAAAGTCACGTCAATGTGTATACATGAGTTCTAGCCATACTGGAACAAATGAACAGCAAGCACTGGAAACTCTTAGGAACCTGTGACCCCCTAAGCCCATGGGAGATGTACACAAAGCCAGATACAAGGGGCAGAAAGAGTGACAGCACACCTGAAGTGAAGACTTACTCTTAAAACCACTGTCATCATACTCTATGGGATTTCTGTGTCAGGGAGGAGGAATGATTTATCTTTATAAGAACTAAATATTCTTGAGATGGAAAAGCCATGTAAGGTGAAAAACACAGATCCTTGTTCTTTTGAGGGAAGTATGCTTAGCTTTCCTCAACTGTTTTTATGCCACAGAGAAGGATTATCCTTACTGGGCACAGCCATCGGCCTTCCCAGGAGCTGAAGGGATCAGTCTTTGACACATCTGTAACCTGAGTGCAGCACACCTGTTGGAATTTCTCACAGTGCACAATACCCGTGCAAAAATATAGCATCACAGAAGTGTTTCAGATTAGTCAGAGGTGTGTCAGTTTCAATTCATTATCAATGCTGTGAGAAAGAATGAAATGCATATATTGTACAGCAAAGAGTATATCTTTAAACTTAAAACTGAATAGAAGCCTACATAGACAAGAGATAGTAAATACAGTAAACTCTATTTCTCAGACTAAGAAAATCAACTCCTCAAAGAATCTATTGCTGTATGAATTACATGTTTCTATATGGTTTCTTAAGGTAGTTTAGAGGTACTCTTTCAACAGACTGCAGAGATGACTACACCTGTAAAAGGAGCTCATTATTAAATGTGGCTAAATGACCTACCAGCTACAAATGGACTGAATTTGCCATCCTACCGTCTCTTTTAAAAAAAGGAAACCAACTTCTCACCTGTGATCTGGTGTCAGACTGGCACATGCCTTTACAATTAGTACACACAGTCACTTCCACAGATTCAAGCTACATTTTATAGGAATTCTAAGTACCTATATTTTTGTAAAATTTAAGTGTTTTATGTCTTTTTGTATTTTAGCATAGAGGCTGTCTCTGCACAGACAAAATACACAGTGAGCCATTATTTGGATTAAAGCAGTAGTGCATACAGGTGAGTTAACTGAGTATCTTTTCTTCATTAGGCAGATACAGGCGAAATCTTTGTGCTGTTTATATTGTCTGAAAGTTCCCCTTTAAGTCTTAAAAATAATTATTAATACAATGCCAGAGATATAGCCAATACTAACATGGTATGTCCTCCTGACTGTGGGTTTTCTGATCTCAAAGAATTGTGCTTTTCCTCTGCGTGCTCATTCAGAAGGCAGCATCTTTGCTTCCCACACAAGTGAGCTCTCGCTAACTGGCTACTCTGCTGCAACCAGCAGTGACACCTAAACTGGTACAAAGCTTCAACTTGCATTTCCTCACTTGGTGTGTTCATGTACCTATTTAGATTATGCACAGACCAGTCATTTCCCAATTGCCGAATCCAAAGGAAGTGAAAAGTATCTTGAATATTTCAAAACTTGGTCATAACTGCCACTGTGTAACAAAATGCAGTTGGGATGCTGAGAATTCCAGTGGAGAAAATGAACTTTGTTACCAAAGACATATTAAAAGTGCACCACGAAATAAAACACACACACTATATTAAAATTGGCAATACTCAATATGAAGTAACCATGAGTTGTATTTGGATGTACATACTGAGCAATGAAATTGCACTGATACCAAATATTACACTTTTCTAAGACCAGCTGAAAATTTTCATGGCTGATAATAACTTTATGCATATATACCTAATTTTATATACTTATTACAGAATTTAGTTATCACAGGTGTATTTAAAACTTTAGGATAAATATAAATTGTAAGCTCAATATCTAATAAAAGATCATACTCATAATATACTTATCAACCAAATACTTTAAAGGTGCATGCATAGAACTGCAGATTCATGTTTGGTGCATACCTGATTACAGATGGAAAAAAGCCTCAGACTTTGATCTTAGCCAGTCCCATTAACTCTTCGTAGAAGAGAGCAGAATTCAATCCTTCCCATTTTGGCCAATCTATGAAGAAGAAGAAGAGAATGGACTTTCTATACTCTAAGTAGAAGTAAGTGACAGAAAGTATGAGGGAGCTGCAGGTTCATAGCACATGCTCGCATTCCATTCTGCTGATGAGTCATGCACTAATTTCCACCAACTGCTCAGTTTTATTAGTTGTAAGCACACTTCATATGACCAAATAAATGCAGAAATAAAAAGCTAAATAGTATCACCTAGAAAAAAAGGCAATTTATTATGCTGAATGATTCCCCACTTGCTTCTCAAATTAAATTTAATTAAAAAAAAAAACCTAAATTGCTGGGCATGGTGGTGCAGGCCTTTAATCCCAGCACCTGGGAGGCAGAGGCAGGTGGATCTTTGAGAGTTTGAGGCCAGCCTGGTCTACATAATGAGTTCCAGGACAGCTGGGGCTACAAGGAGACCCTGTCTCAAAAAAAAAAAAAAACTAATTTTCCAAAAAAAAAAAAAAACTAATTTTCCAAAAAAAAAAAAAAACTAATTTTCCAAAAAAAAAAAAAAAAAAAAAAAAAAAATCTAACTTGCCTACCAAGAAATATGGCTACGGTTACTAAAAACTAAATTGATCAAAATTTCATTAAGCTTAGTATGATGGGAAAAACTCAGCTCCTTCCAGGAGAGTGCATCTGGAAGCACATCAAAGCACACACCTGACAACAGCACCCCCACTCACTGTGCACACTTGGGAACTTGAGGCTTCTCAAAACCCCACTTCTGCTGCCTGCAGTAACTGCCAATTTATACTTAAGAATGCTGTAGGGATGGTTGCGATGTAGCAAGACTGCTGTTTACGTTTCAGAAGCATGCAAGGGAAACTACATACAGGTTTGATAAGGAGGCAGGCATCGGGGAGAGAACATCGTTTGTTGCATGAGACCATTGTTGAAAAATCTTAAGCTAGTTAAAAAATGCCCTTTAACAGCAATATCTTTAATAGGATGAGGGCACATAGAAAAAATGTGTTAATAATTACTGATCATCAAAGACAAGTTGAGAAGCGTAATGGTATAAAGTAAAAAGATCAAGAATTTTTTATTTTCAAGAATAAAGAGGACAAGGAATACAGAGGCTAGTAAACTCTGATTATTTTAACTAAGAATTCAGAATCTGAGAGGGAGGACACAAGTCAAAGAGTTAAAATACAATCACAAAAGGATATATTAATAGCATGTTAAGTAAAAAAAACACTTTTAAAGTTCTAATACCAATCTGATATTATCCTTTGGAAAAAATTTCACATACTTTCATAATTTGATGATATGTAAAGAAAATATGTAATAGAGGACATTCAAGCACCATTACAAAATTACTACGGGTATATATAAAACTAGCACTATTCTCATTATTTAAATAAAAATTGAGATCAATAAAGACATATAAAAAGTTAAAGCAAAAGCCCCATTTTTATAAAGCATAGGACATGCACAAGGAAAAGAACTGAATTCTGTACATAAAACTGCAAAATAAGATAATTAACTTCGTGAATACTTACTTGCCCAGGACACACACTGAATATTTGGTGTGGGTAGTTATGAATATGAAAGACCATCATATGCACTGAGGTTTGAATGATATACATAGCTTACAAGTATAGAATCTTTCCATCTCTATCACCTCCCTGGTGTCAGTGACCCTAAGAGGTAGATACATTTATTACCACTATACTGAGCTACTTGATGGCATCTATATGACCAGGAAGGCCTCATGTCCTCAAACTCCTATCTCAATCCTACTCTGCTCATCCTACAAGGGCAGGTTAGCAAACTGGCTTGCAAGTGGATAAATCCTGCCATACTTAAAAGATTAAGAAGTGATTCAGTATCAACTTTTTTCCTATGAGTTATCAAATAAAATCTCCAAAAGGAAATAAATTGAAGACTTAGGAAATTTAAAAGGTAATTTTCAAGATAAGTCTTAAGTAATTTAATTAAGCATTAAAATAAAAATATGTATATCGATAATTTGAGACTTAAATCTAAACCAAAGTTGACTAGTAAATAATAAATCTGTATATTTTCTTGTCATAAATTTTACTGCCTTTCAAATACATTCATAAGTTTTATCTATGCTTACAGTTCAGTGACATTTTATAATAAAAGGCTTTAGCATCTAAGTATTTCAAATAGTTTATAAATATGTACCTACAATAGGCTACAAATTACCCATGATATATCTTACAACCCAAAATAGAATTATAAATAAAGTGATCATTTTTAATTTAGTTTATCTTAAAACATAACTCCCAAATTTATGGTTAATTTCTCTAAATTTATCCTACTTTGAATTTTTATTAATTGCCAAATAATTTCAAAGAACTTTTCATGATTTCCCCAAACAAAGGAAATCAGGAGTTGATTAAAATTAGTTGGATTGTCAGAATAAACATAAAAAATTAATATAGCTTGCATTTAGGTAATCCAAACTGAAATGTTAAGTAAATGTCTGTTAGGATCAAGAAAAATTAAAAAAAGACTCTGATTCTGTTTTTAAAGTCTGTGACCAAACTTACATTTACGCTTTTCTTTTCTACTGTTCTTTGAAAAGTTATCAAAGACTCGCTACTACGTTTTTCAAATGATGGAAATTCTTCTTTGTCCTTGTCTGAAGAATTATGAAGGAAGGTAGACAATACCCATTCTAAGCTGCTCTAAGATGGAACAACAGTTCAAAATACACTGTTTCTGATCATACCCAAACAGGCACAGCTCCTCCATCCCCTGCCCCCAAGGTAACTCTGAATGCAACAGTAGCAGCAGTTAGAGGGAACAGCGTATGATCCTGCACCAAGATTCACCTGCATGTGCTTTACTTTATTCATAAAAAATAATAAGCAAATGGACTATACATCTGAGGCTCTACTGTAATCAATTTCTATGAGATGACAGGCAAAGAACAGGCCTTTATGGAACTGATTTCTGTTTCTGAGACTTGCTTTGTTAACGGATGTATATGTTAACAACACTTACCTGCATTACTAATTTTTTTTTCATTTTTAAAAATCACACAGATTTTGCTAAGGACAAATGCTATCAGCCACCAAAGCTTTATTCTCCCTTATACTAATCATAACAAACCATTACTACACATTTCAGAAAAATGTCAACATTTGCTTAAAACATTTTCCATAGAGAGTAAATAGGGTATATCACCAAAGGAAACTTACCAGTTGACAACAGTTTATATGTATGAAACAGTAATAGAGTTTTGAATAATCTGAAGGAGACTAACAAGATTACATAATGGGAATGAAATTTAGGAGGAGCCACAACAGCTTACTTGGAACATTATTTTTAAAATCAGTGTCACTGATCCTGTATAAGTTGTAAATTCTTACAGCAGTCAACTCCCATAGTCTATAAAGTCCCTTACTACTGAAGAATAAAAACTATCCTAAAACTTAAGAAAGGGAAACAGAAGGGATCATCAAAATACATTACATATATTAAAATATCAAAAATTGAAAATTAAAGAGAGAAAATAAATGGAAAAAACCCCCCAGAACAACACCCCAAAGCCCTCCAAACCCCAAACTCAGAGAATGGCAGCTGGGGGCAGATCAGGTCAGTTTTACTCACTGCGGTGTCCTATAAATGACAGTAAAGTAACCACTGAATGAACAGAAAGGATTAAAGTAGTCACCACTAATGTGATGACCTATAGGCTTCCTCATCACCATGGTGGACATACAATAAAAATATGTATTCAAGCCAAAGATCACATGGTATGGATATAATTTGTCTAACACACTGAAAAGGGCAATAGAATGGTATAAATCCTAGGTTCGGATAACGATAATAATTAAAAAGCTGTTTAAAATACTTAGTTTGTTCAGAAAGCAAGCATGCTCTGACTGGTGATACACCTACGGAATCAAATGGTACAAGGGGACAGCGTCAGTACAGCCACAGTCTTAATAGGAACTTTTAAAGCGAAGACATGCCCGGTACCTGGCCTGAAGCAGGAAAAAACGGTGAGACATCTGGGTCTCCAGAGAGCAGAGAGGAGCCCTTTAGAGAGGGCTCACTGCAAAGCAGGAAGCGTGGCAAAAATATGCACTTAACTCACCTGCATTACATGTCCTCAGAGAACTCAGTTAACATGTCAGTAGAACCACACAAGTTACTTTCCCATATTGGATGCCATCATTAATTAAACCAGTAATGGTAAGAATGCCTTTTAAGTATTATACTTGATCTTTTCAACTTATTTTGAGCAATTTCTTAAAATGTAGTTCTAGAATAATCTTTTAAAATTTACCACAAAATTAGGCTTAATTACATCTAAAACCATACTTAATACAGAATAAAAGCTACCAGAGAAGTGAAGGGAAACAGTTAATCTTTTTGCTTTTAAGAATAGATAGGAAGCTGTCCACGGATTTCAAAGTTGGCACCCCAAAGTTCCCAGAGACCCCACCATCAGCCTCACTATCCATCAGTGCTGCAGGATCTGCTTTCCTGGCCATGCATGCCCTTGAGGAGCAACACAGAATACCAGCCACCCAGTGAGGATGCAAAAGTCAGACAAATGTGATCTTCCAATTCACAAGTCCTTGCCTTGATTTATTTTATGGAGCAAAAGCACCAGAGTGAGCTAGAGAATTTCTTCTCTTTTGAAAGTTCTTAATGATCTTTAACTCCGAAGCTAACACTCCATTTTAAGTTTTTTATCTATGGGAGATTCTCTAAGATTGCACGTTTATGAGAATAAAAACCTAGAAGACATGATGGGGAGTACACTAGGTATTTCATTTTCTTCATGTAGGGAAATTAGTGCTTGCAAGCAGGAAGTGAGAAGAACTGTGGAAGGAAAGGTCATGCTGCCACGTGAGTGAGGGAGCAGAGCTACAGTTAGAACAACATAGAGCAGAACTGTTTCATCAACATTTTAACTATTCTTACAGGATCTTCTGGGCCATAAAAATATACATAAAACATTTCCAAAATATTCGTTGTCTAGTTAACCTAGTTTACACTAGAACATAGATAACACACAGGTCATATACCCTAGATTGTGATGAGTTCATAATTTGGTTATTACTAACCCCTTAAGTTGCTGGGGTGCCACAAAATACCTGATATCAACTACCAAAATATATGGAAGAGTCTTAAACATGTAGAGTATTATCTTCATTCTAGTATGGGAAATTACCAAATACAATTAAAATCACAAAAACAGAATCCAGTTTTCATATACAAACTCTCAAGCACTCACACTAAGCCTATATAAATTCAAAGGAAAATGTAGAAATCAGATGGAATTTAAGAAAACCACTAAAGAAAGTTTTATTTAGTTACTAAAGTTCATGAGGAAAAATTAGTTTTAAGCCATCTCAAAGTAATGTGCATGTTAAGCATAGGCCTGTGCTACATGCAGAGGTATAGCTGCCTAAACTACATGCTGGTGCTCAAGGCACACTTTGAAATGCAATGGAATCAGAATCCAGTGTCCAGGTCAGGCTCTGCACATGCCACCAGCCTGTTCACTCAACATCATGCCTATGTAGCTGTCCAGGATAAAATCACTTTAGAAACAACATTTCTTTTCATTCTCACATCACTGAGGTAAATAAGATTCGTTTTAGGCATAACTGTCAAGAGATCTGACATCAGTATTCCTTGACCAATCCACCGTATGAGGAGGAACCTGAAACTCTTCCCTCTCAGAATCTTTTACCCTGGAGGTTACTAAGATTCCTGGTATCCCCACCAAGTACCCAGTGTCCTGCCATGCAGAGACATTTAATAAATATTTGTTGGAAAGCAATTAGTTCCTTTAATGGGATTTCAGGAATCAAAGCAAGTAGGGAAACATGTTATTGGACTCTGGAAATCTCAAATTGATTGTGCAGCAAGCTCAGAAGACAAACCCAATATAATTAAATGGTTAGTGTGCTCTCGCAGAGGGGTAGGAACTTAGGAGCCCAACATGACCATCTGGGAATCCACATTGCTTCTACAGCCCTGGGAAGCAGCCTCGACTAGGCAGGCCTTGAAAGCTGGGGACCCAGGCACATGCTCCTCAGACCAGACAAGCAAGGAGACAAACCTAGCTGATGTTCCAAAAATTGCCTTCAGACATTCTGTCCTAGTAATTCCATAAGCACATGTACCCTGTGTTGACCACGACTCTCTGTTTGGAAATTAACAATGGAGTTCTATGGAAAGGAAAATCATACAAAGCGAAATTCCAAATCCTTAAATAAAATGCTCTTCATGTAAAAAATAAGATATGAAGGATGACACTGAAAATATTGGAGAAAAATTTTAACTGATTACAAATATAGGAAAGTCAAAAAAGAAAAAATTGTATAAACTGAGTTTGATTCCGTAAAAAGTAATTATTTTTCCTTTCTCTGGTTACTAAGAAAAAGCTTTATTAAAAAACAGTTTAAAAGATAACTTGCACCACTAAAACAATTATTAACACATTTTAAATTTAAAATTTTAAATGTTTAAAATTATTTAGATATATAGAGATGGCTGAAATTTTATCCTAACTTGATTTTAATGCCTCTTGCCATAGAATGTTGTACTTACTAAGATTGTGTTCATGGGGCTGGAGAGAAGACTTAGTGGTTAAGAGATCCTGCTGTACATGCAGAGGACCTGGGTTCAGTTCCCAGCATCCACATGTCAGTTAACAACTATCCATAACTACAGTTCCAGGGGATCCGGTGCCCTTTCCTGGCTTCCATGGGCATTGTACACATGTGGTACACTTACATAAACGTAGGGAAAACATTCATTACACATTAAAATTTTTTTAAGATGTAAAAAGATTGTGTTCCTGTTTTCTGTGAGGTCCCATTTGGCTCTCTTAGCCATCTGGTTTCCCTAGGCAGCACCCTATCTGCCATAGAGTTTAGGAGTTTGAGCCCGCTCTCTGGTATTTGGTGTGACTACCTTTGCTTTCTCCAGTCTCCTCATCCTGGGGGCTATGGGGTCTGGCCTCTGAACTCCAGCCCTGTGCTTGAAGTCTGGATGATAAGGCTTCACTGACAGACTTACCTGGTGCAAATCCATGTGTCCTTGGGTTTCCAAATATCACTACACCTTGTTTCTGTGCCGAGCTGTATCTACAGTGGGGAAATCTAGATGCTGTTCTTGTCACACTGGACTCCTTACTCTAGCATCTGCCCCATTCCTGGAAGCAGGTCCAATCCACTTCTCTACATGCCCACAATTGATCAGATCCTCCCAGCAGACAGAAGATATAGTGGTTCCATAAAGCAGTTTACTCTCTGAGCAACACTCAGAGAAGGAAGAGCTTAGTTAAGAATTCATCTGTGGGCTCTCTGGGAAGAGGTAAACAAACTTTACAGTAGCTATGCATTCTGCTGTGAGAGGCTTGTTCTTTGCCTTCCACTGAGCACAGCCTTTACTGAAGTCCTGCAGATCACAGTGCTTCCTGGTGGGTCCTAAGGTCATAAAGTGGCAGGCTTATTATGTGGCACGCTTTTCAAAGCTTTTAATATTATGTCTTAGTTAGTTTAGGAACTGGAATAACTGATCACTTTGAAAGTCATGCCATATAATGATAAAAGCCACCTACCTGGAGCCCTGTTCCAAACTCTAGCAAGACAACCTTATTAATAGACCATCACAGAATGAAGCATTCTGGGTGCCCAATACCGCCAAGGCAGCACCAAGAGGCAACCTAGAAAGAAAAGAAAAGTTAGTTTGAAATTCCAAAAGTCAAGCCCAATCTGGCTAATGGCATACAAATAGATTTTCATTATCACTTTCTTTTTAACTTTATTGAAAAAATCTATCATAAATCCTGTTATGAACGTGAATCAAACTGTAACACATTGAAAAGTAAACAAATCGTTATCTACAATTCACATATTTTCCGCTAGAAACAGTTATTTAGATAATTTGTAGTTCATTCAGATATTATTCCAAGTTTACTGTCATCTTTTCAACTTGATCACTTATTTTCTTTTTATATCCTAAACACATCCAGTCTTCTCTGTAATGTTAAAAAGAGGCTTGTCACAGCTATCTTGTTCTGAGCAAAGGCTGAGAAGAAACCTGCATGATGCTTTCCGTGATTCTCTGATCTGAGAAGGTGCAAAATGCTGAGCACTCAAGGATGGGGGCAGAGCAAGGATGTTCGTTCCTTCCCGAGTATGTGTCCATGTGATTATTACATCTTTCAAGTGAATTCCTAGGGCCAGACACAGCTTCAGCAGCATACAAAGACACATCAACTGTATTCTGAAGTACTCCATGTTTGCAGTTAGCCTTGATATCCTCCAACTGGTACAAATTAATGAAGACTAACCTTTGGGAGCATAGTCAAGACAGAAAAGAAGGCCATTTTCTATGTGCAAATCACCTACTTTGTATCTTAATGCCTGAGAGTCATGTCCAGTTGTATACAGTTAACACTCTATTAAAAGTGTCTGATAATGACACACAAAATGTTACCAACATCTATTATAAACAGCACTGATCTGAATTACCATGGGCACCAGTAGACATGATCTGTGTACTCATGAGTATGCAAACTAGTTACGCCTGTAGAGTTTACTCCTTTGGTCAACTTAATAAACACTGTGATGAGACGGTAGTGGGGATGATCAGTAACAATATTATACAGTATAAACAAGGGCCAAAAAAGAAGAGTATTATGGAATTTTTCAGTGATTTTTGTCTTGAAGAATGTACCATTAAGCAGCGCCCCCCCCCACCTCCAGTAAAAGGTATATGGCAAGGGAACTGACAGGTGAATCGCTGGATTCTAAGCAGAACTCTGACTGCAGGTAGCTTCAGCGGTACCTTTCCACATGCATGTACTCATGGTAATAAGTGGGAACTTAGGAAACACTGAATATATTGAAAGCAGGGAGAAAACAAATACTTGGGAAGACAAAGGAGAGGAGAGAGTGACCTCTTGAATGAGAAGCAAGATGTGTGCCAGAGTAGCACACCAAAGGCAAGGTGGTTGACAACCAGCAACAGCATTCCCTAGAAGAACCAAGAGATATCAGGAAGGGAGACAAGGACAGCCATGCGGCCTGTGCTCGGACAAGCAGATCACCGCACCTCAAGCCCAATGACTGCCACTATGGGACAAAACAACAGAATTCCAGGATAAGGAAGAAAAAGGTGGCAAAAGTCACAAAAGGAAGCTTCTAGGAGCCAGAGAATCACCCCACAATCCAATCCTTGCCAGGCAGGCTCCACTTAGGCCTGAAGACCTTAACGTTCACCAATAAAGACTATGGCTGGGAGAGGACAGTAGAAAAGGGGGGA